GCCACTATACCATATGCCAAGATGAACAATAGGTAATAGATGGATCATCGAGTACTATTTTGGCATTTCTCTTGCCAAATCCACCCATTAAATTCTAAGGAAATCTCATAAGGGAACGCAAGATTCCTTGGCCAACATCATACATTTGGGACAAAACCTTGATTGACAATATAAGGAGTGCATGCTTCAAAATGTGGTTTAATGGTGATAAGCTATCTAAACTCAAGCCAGAAAGCATCCAAATAAATCCATGACTGTAATTATAAACCAACTACCTAAAGGATCCCATGACAACCCATATATGGCCCCTTAAGAATAGTCAACCATTCGGATAATCTCTAGAGTTAGACATCCTGTATATGGTTTATTCAGCTTCTGCATACTTAATATAAGAAATTAAGAATCTAAGTTGAAAGCTCAAGTTGAATCAGGAAATGATTTGTCTATGTCTCTTCAAATCCAGTTAATGTGTAGGGCTTCTAAACTTTATACCTGTCCTTTCTAAAAATCATTTGTAATCCTAAATGTGGAGGTTTCCAAGACCACAATGAGATATTTGGCAGCCTGCCCACATTTATTCAGGTCTTCTTCCCTCTCTATTTATTTTGTCTTCAACTTTTCAATATAATGACCAAGGGTGGAGGCTCGGAGCTTGATTCTATAAGTGCCTTCTTTTGTTCTCATTAGGCACGCAAATCTTATTGTAACCTCCTTGTCAAATGTCCTCTACCAGCTCTTCCTACCATTCTTCACTTTGTTACATCACCTCAAGTATCCTCCCTTCATGGACTTATTACTGTTGAAACATAAATACTTAAGTTAAACCCTCTTCAATAGCTAAACTTTTGGAGAAGATGCTTGTTTAATATGGTATCAGAGGAAGAGGTCGTGTGTTCGAAATCTAGCCTGATTATTGAAAGACTTCCACGTGTTAGGCCCAAAATTTAGCCAAAACGTGAGGGAACATGTTGAAATATAAATACTTAAGTTACACCCTCTCCAACAGCTTAAATTTTTGGAGTAGATGGTTGTTTAACAATTACGACCTTGGCCAACAATAATCTTATTCTTCAGTCACAATTTCTTTTGATTTGTGTTATTCCACTCCCTATATTATTTCAGTTACATAAAGGAAATTAGTAAAGTAGTATACTAGATTTATCCACTTAATGGAACTCCTTCTAATGACCTATGCATTCTATTATCAATTCCAATTGCACGAGCCATTAATCCAATTGGAGGAAGAAACTCACACTTTCCAATTTTTTTAGGGCGGTCGCCCTTTACTTTTTTAGGACCGATACCTCACCTGCACAGGTACCTATGTAGTGTGGTGTCGGTCGCACATTCAACATAGCATTCGGACCCATGTGCCTTCCAAAATCAAGGGTCTTCGAGCACATATGATTGTCCAGCCTTGTTGCGGCAAAACGATTAAACGTCCCACTTCTTTTTGTAAAAAGATGAGGAAGATAATCAGTAAGATGACGGAGCATCGAAATGTACAAGATCACACAAATGTAGATTGCTTGCAGCTAAATATGAATTGAGACGAAAGCTTTATAAAGCATTTTGTAAAGATCTCGAGCTTCGTGATATGTGGGACAAACATCGTTATAAGTTGCCCAAGTTGCCAGGCCATTCCGTCTCTTGATCCCCCATTCCACTAATCCATTATTACTGATTCATTCAAGGCATAGACTCTCCCTTTCTTTGTCTTATTAGCGCAGATCTTCATCAACGATGAAAGCGGCTGAACTTAAGACTCGAGAGGTTGACCAGCAACAAAACAAACTGATGACCATTTTCTCTTTACAAATGGAAAATCAAATATGTTATACATCAAGCACAAGTTAACGCGACTGCTAGTGAACTCCCTCCCAAAGCAGGCCTGAATAACTTTGAAAAGAAAGACTAATGGCCACCTATCGAGTGCCTCTTACAACCCAGACTCTTCTCATAGTGATGCTAATATCATTCTTTTGTCCTGTAGCTCTTATTAGACTCCATGATCTCAATGATATTTGAGGAAAATCAATTTGCTCCTGCAGGTTTATATCCCTCTACAATGCCTTATAAGCCCTTATATCTATCCCTCTCTTGCTAGTAGCTCTCTTCTTTCCTAGTAGCTTGACTTCGTTCCTGCACTGTTAGTTAGTTTGGATCAATTTCTAGGAGTTTGAGATCTTCAATAACTCTTATTGCTTGTTAAATATCTGCCCCATCTGGCTTAATTTCCACCTTCGTGGTTTCCCTACTGTGCAAAGTTAATTTTATGTTGAATTGACATTGAAGACCTAATTTACAAACACCAAGGTTCATGACAAAGGAAGTGCAAACCTATAGAACGAGGTTGCATCTCCAACGGTTTTCAGCTTTCTTTTCTTTAGAGAGAAAGAGAGAGAGAAGTGCATATCTGCATGAATGTGTTGGGAAAGCCACAACCAGGATACAATTCAAGCCAATAGCACCATGCTGCTTGACTCAGTAGCCCTAATCCATGCAAAAACCTACACTTTCAGAGGTACTTTAGCCTTCTAACTCATCTCAAACATAGGAGAGGATTGCTCATTGATCAAGCCATGGAAGTAGGATTAGCAAGAAAAGCCACTAGAAGAATCAAGGATCCAAACTATTTTATCTCCCCCAACGGCATTAAGGAAATCGGTTGAAGACTAGTGACCCATGTGAAATGAACTTCCAAGGGCACCAAAATGAGCCCCTAACAACCACTTTCAAGGTCCAACTATTTGGATCTAGTCAAGGATCAAATTTTCGTTTCGGTGCATAGTTTTGGTATGCTTGAAAATGAAAATATTTCAAAAACAAGATAGAAACAAAGAAAATTTTGAAAATTTATTTTCGCAACATTGATCGAACCATGCCGAAACATCTCGAAACAAAAAAATTTTGATATTCAATCAATTATTTGTTTCGGTTTCCATGAAAACAGAAATGTTGCGACCGTTTCAAAACGAAATTTAGTTCCTTGGATGAAGTCCACATTTGCTTTTGATTACCTCACGCCACAAAGCACCCTGTTTGAGTGAAAACCTCCACAAGCACTTTTACCTAACAATGCAAATATTTTTCTTTACCAAATTTTTCACCCTCATACCCCTTTTACTTTTTGATTTGGAGACCACCTCCCACCTAACAAAATGATCTTTTTTTTCCATCCCATCTCATATCAACCTTAAAATTTTAAGGGCAATCTTTTTAGGGATTTTAAAAAGGGATAAAAAATAAATAAGAGTAGTAGACAAAACCAATTGTAGTACACTAGTCTCCCTCCCCTTGAAGACACGTTTTTTTCCACCCCTCCAATCTCTTTTGAATTCCCTCAATGACCAGGTTTCAAAAACTCTTTGATACACGATCTCCCCCTAGAGGAAGGCCCAAGTTCTTTAGGGGCCATTCCCCAACTTCACACCCAACTCTTTCAGAAATCCTATCTAACCTCTCTTATTGAATGTTAATTCTCACTATTAGACTTTTAGAAATATTTACTTTCAATCTTGATATAACAATAAAAAATTTCAATTACCTCTACAACATTCTTAAATTTTTCTTCATCAACAAATATAAAAAATTATATTATCTGCAAATATGAATGTGACACCTCCACAAAATCCCTACCTACCTGGAATCTCACAATAAGATTATGATCTCTAACCCAAAACATAATAATCTATTCTTCTATCCTCCCTTCATTCTCTAACATACTCCATCTTCTTCATCCAACTTTGAAATAAGATTATTCTTTCTCCTCCCATTTTCTACCCAATAGAATAACTTCGAGTTATTATCTCCTTCTTTGGCCCATTAAAACTTCTTCAAGTTATTATCTCCTTCTTTGGCCCACTATAACTTATCTTTTTGTCTCCATGAAATCTCTTCTTTAAACACCACTTCCTCAAATTTATTTCTAAGAATATTCTTTTCCATCCTTAAAATTCTCACTCAGCCCTCCTCAATACAGTTACAAATTTTATTGTTTTCCATCCTACCATCACCAAACACTTCTCTATTCCAAACCTTCAGTTTCCTTTTTAACATGTTCAAACTTCTTCATAAACCTAAAACCTTTCATCCATGCAATAAAAATCATTGCCACCAATCTTTAAAACTTCTTTTAAATAAATGATGCTCTAACCACGTATTTTCAAGTGTAAATAGAGTCAGACCCCACCTGAAAACAGTAGAATCTAGCACAGTAAGAGAATGATCAGACACAACCCTAACTAAAGCATCAAGCCTGACATTTCAAAAAAAAATTCTCCCACTCGGACGAGAACAAAAATCCATCTAGCTTGCAACACACCAAATTCATTCTACCATTCAACCAAGTAAAAAATGCATTATTTAGAGGAGGATCATTCAGATTTGTTTCCCTAGTAAGCTTATTAAAAACTTTCATACTTCTAGTGGCCTTGCCCCAATTCATTTTATTAGATACAAATCTAGGGACATTGAAGTCACCCTCTAAACACCACCTAGAACCACATAAACCACACAACTCTGCTAGCTCTTCCAATAAACCCTCCTAAGGCGATACTTATTTGGCCCATTAATTCCCGTCAACCACCAATTTCTCCCATCTTTCATTTTAAACTGAACTGAAATAAAAAAGTCCCCTAAAATTGACTCTAAGGTTGGCATTACCCTAACATTCCACATAATAACAACACTACATGTTATACCACAATAAGGCAAAAAAAAACTAGTCCTAAAAGCTAGCACCCAAACACTTCTTACCAACCTCCGGTCAATACTTTCCTTTTTAGTTTCTTAACATTTTACAATGTTTGGATCATTTTTAATTCCCACTACCCTTATTGCTTTCCCCTTTTCCTACACCCAAGGCCTCTCACATTCCAAATAAGAATATTCATTAATACTGACATCACACCCATTATCCTTCATAAGATTATTACCCTCATAATTAACCCCAGATTTCAAAATTTTTAATTCCCTTAAACCTTTTTGATCTCTTTCCTTTAACTATTTTCTTTGTCCTTCCCTTTAAAAGGCACCGGTGAAAAGTCTACAAAAGCCAAAAAATACCTCAATCTATCCCACCCTTTCTCATCAAAAAGAAAATACCTAATCACACTCTCTAACTCCCCCGCCTTATTAAAAGGACTACCTCCCTTCACATCTAACTGCTCTACTGCATCCACTACTACCAAATCCCATCCACCTCCTAACTGACACCTACCCTCCACACTAACCAAAGAGTCTATGGCATTGTTGTTATCAAAAGGAATTGTTTCCATTCCCATCCCCACAGCACCACACTCATCCCGTGGTAAATTAGGTCTCAAAACTCTACCTCTGGAAAGACCCTTCTCAGGTTTCACAATCTTGTGTTCCCCAGATGATTCGTCCCTAAAGGAGGAGATGCTGGGAGAGTGTCATCGCTCCAAGTTTGCTATCCACCCCGGTAGCACAAAGATGTATAGGGATATGAAGCGTCAATACTGGTGGAGGGGAATGAAGCGAAATGTGGCCAAGTATGTGGCAAAATGTGCAGTGTGCCAGCAGGTGAAAATTGAGCATCAAAGGCCAGGAGGAGTCCTACAGTCTTTGTCTATTCCAAAGTGGAAGTGGGATCACATCACCATATACTTCGTGTCGGGTTAACCACGGATGTCGCGCAGGCATAATGCAGTGTGGGTTATTGTGGATAGACTCACCAAGTCCGCTCACTTTTTGGGTATGAAGACCACGGATACATTCGAGACTTTGAGCCAGCTGTATATCCATGAGATAGTGAGGTTACACGGCGTTCCGCTCTCGATTGTGTCGGATCGTAACTCTAGGTTTGTGGCGAAATTCTGGCAGAGTCTACAACAAGCGATGAGGACGGAGTTACACTTTAGTACGGCTTTTCATCCCCAAACGGATGGCCAATCCGAGAGGGTGATACAAATTGTGGAGAATATGTTACGTGCTTGCGCGTTGGACTTCAAGGGGAGTTGGAGCGACCACTTACCGTTGGTGGAGTTTGCTTACAACAACAGCTATCAAGAAAGTATTGGGATGGCACCGTATAAAGCATTGAATGGAAGACCATGCCGATCACCGACGTGTTGGTTAGAAGCCGGCGAGAGTAGTTTGTTTGGACCGGACATTGTTCGAGAAACTACGGAGAAGGTTCAACTTATCCGAAAAAGGCTACGGACGACGCAAAGTAGACAGAAGAGCTATGCGGACCACAGACGAAGACCCTTAGAATTCAAGGTGGGAGACTACGTATTTCTCAAGGTGTCACTCAAGAAAGGCGTGTTTCGATTCGACAAGAAGGGAAAGTTAGCGCCAAGATATACCGGACCGTTTGAGGTAATCAAAGTGGTAGGCAATGCGGCATATCAACTTCGACTACCAGCCCAGCTATCCGGAGTACATGATGTGTTCCACGTGTCTATGTTGAGAAGGTGTCACTCGAATGCAACTCCAGTCGTGAACTTGGAGAAGATTGAAATTCAAGACGGAGCAACCTACGAAGAACAACCGGTAAAAATTCTCGACGCCCAGAAAAAAATACTTCACAACAAAGTTATCAGATTGGTGAAGGTTTGTGGCAACACCATGGAGTGGAGGAAGCTAGTTCGCTACTTGAGGTAAGTTTCGAAGATGAAACTTTCTTTAAGGGGGGTGGATTGAAACACCCCGCATTTTCTTTTATATATGTATATAGATATATAGTAAATAATTATGATAAAAAAAATGTGGATATATGTAGTGATGTGTGTTTGAATTTGGTAGATTGAAAAAGTAGAGATTTAAAATGTTAGTGAAAATAATAGTTGAAATTTGATTTTAATAAGTGAAAATATGAAATTTTAGGTCCTAAAACTTGTATTAAATAGGTTTGGTGTAGAAATATGTGTTGGAGAGGTTTGGGATAGATTTGGTTGGCTTAGGAATGGATTGAAAATGAAAAAGGGACGAAGACAGGCTATGAACAGTGCACTGCTATAACTTCAAGCTCGATTTAGACCTTGATGCAGTCAATATCTCTCAAAACTCAAAACATGAAAGTTTTAGAGCTCTTTCGTATCATTCCATAATATCTTGAATCATCTCAATCGGAGCTTGGATGAGAGAGTTATGCTCAGATAACGAAATGATGTCGAAATAATCTAATTAGCTTCGTTTTGCATTTAATGTCTCCATTTGTATCCTAAATCAAAATAAATAAGTATAAAAGGCTTTAAGAAACACCCTTTATCACCTTTTATTTGCAAACATCGCAAAACTTCATTAATAGCCGATTCGGATGGGTAAAATAGAAACTTTAGTGTTTCGGGTGTACGTTGACTTGGGTGTTGAGATAAATCATAAAAATAAATATTTTTAGGTTAAAATAACATTAAAAATGAATCCGGAACGTCAAAAAACCTTAAGGTAGTCATATGGATCAAATTAGAAATTCTTAGTGGCAAAACCGTAAATTTGGAGAAACCCAAAACAGCCTGTGAACAGTATTTTTCGGGGCTGCTATATTTTAAACTCATTTTCATCTCATTTGCTCTCATTTCCTTCACTCCCCTCACACCCCCACACCTCTTGAAACCCTAGAGGGCATTAGAGAAGAAGAAAAGAAGGGAAAAACAAGAGATTCAAGGGTGATTCAAGATCAAATATTTTTGTTCTTCACTCCAAAGCTAAGGATTCAAGGTAGGGATTTTCTCTCATTCACTTACATTGAGGCTAGGGTATTTATATATGTATGTTTTGGCTATCAATGATATATATATGCTATGGAATCATCCTCTCTTAGGCTTTTTGCAAGGATTACATGTTTTGAACAAAGTAGAGTTTAATACCCATGAAATCTCCTTTCTAGTTTTAAAACCCTAATTTTTGGAGAGTGATGTATTTCCTTCCTTCCTAAATGCTTTCTTTATTATGGATTTCAAAACCTTAGTGCTTTGTGTTGGGTAGAAAAATGATGTTATTGTGATCTCATGTATTTTCTTAGTTAGTTGTGGAATTGTTATATGATATATTTTAGAAATTTTGGATAGATGCTTGTAAATTGAGATAAATGTTGAAATTTTATGCTTGGTTGGGTTGTTTATGATGCACATGAGTGAGAGGTTCCTTGTAAGGATGCTCACCCCTTCCCAAGAGGTTTCCGATAAGGATGCTTGGAAAATAATGTAGTGATTGATGAGAGGTTCCATGTAAGGATGCTCATCCATTTTCAAGAGGTTCCCGGTAAGGATGCTTGAGAATCAAAGGTGACCTAAAAGGGAGTGGAGGTTACCACAAAGTATGCCGCCTACCGAAAGAATTGTTGAAAATTGGTTATGACAATTAATTGTTATTATTTGTATGTGGTGCTCATTTATTCATTTAAGTAATGTTTTTAAATAAACTTGAGATCCTTTTTAAATGTCACTGCTTTATTTCAAATTATGTGTCTATGTTATGTTAAAATTGAGACCGACCGTTTTAAATACTTTTCTAAACCTTGTATGGGTTTGGGAGAATATTTCTACAGAGCTTCGTGCTCACCCCCTATCGCTAACATTTTTCAGATTACCCGCTTGAGGAGGAGGACGTAAGGGTCGAGGAGCCCGCTACTTAGGAGACTCCACGGGACGGGAGTGTGGATCCTGAGGTGGACGCATAGAGCGACCTCCTTTCCTTTTGTACTAGACTAGGACATTCTTTTGGAACATTGTGTAGTCTAGCTTCTTTTGTTTATTCCGCTGCGCTTCCTTAATTAATTTTTGAGATGTAATAGCCATGACTTGGGCTTATTCTTTTGGATAATGTTGTAAATATTCGTGGATGACAAATGAAGTCTTGTTTCTTAAGGGATTATATTAGTGCTCTCATGATATGAATGGTTTTAGAATGTAATGTCATCCAGGGTGTATTTTGTGGCGTTACAGTAGCCTGAATTTTGCTCCAAGAATCAATATATACGATTGCCCTGCTCCATTATCCGTAAACAATCATTTCCTTGCTAACATGTGAAGAGGTTCAATAATGATCATTAGGCAAATCCTTCAAATTAGTTCTATGGTTTAAAACACCCAAGCCTATTTTTGTAATCAAAGCCTCCCCTATTTAAACCTTGTACACCTCCCCTGTTTATTGTATCAACACAATACCTACTCTTTGCCTGCAGATTGTTAAAGCCAGCATCAATAAAGTAACCTCTGTAGCCCAAAGAGACATCCAATATCATATTATCCAATTTCCTCCATCCCCAGCCATCAACTACTCTAGGGACCATCAAATAGCATAGCCTCCCATTCACAGACTTTTTAGAAATCCTCATGAACTTATCTCTGTTGTTGTTGTCATTTCCATCCAAACAACAAAGGAACTGCCTCTATACTTTCTGAACAAAGGCTCTGCTGATAGTCCAGCCTTCTTCAAGGAATCTCCCACCAATCTAGCACAATCACCAATAACCTCAATGTCAAAGCTAAACTTCCAACATTTCCCTGTAATATGAAGTTTAGGTACTCTGGAGTTCCAGACACTCAACAACCATTTAGTTTCGATACTTGCTTGTAATTTTAGAGGAGAGAGATCCATTGGATTCCAGGAAACCAGTACACCTTCCAATTAATACTCATGTACAGTTCTCTCTTAGATTTTTGCTTCAGTGCTATTAAAATGCATCAAAACATGTGATGGAGACAGCAAGTGGAGGTTAATTGTTTTTTGGTTATTTTTTCTGTGCTTATTTCAACATCAAAATATGAAGCCTTGGTTTTCAGATACAAAAAATATATGATGGAGAGATCAAGTGGAGGTTAATCAATTTTTAGATATTTTTTTCTGTGCTTATTTCCACATCATAATTTGCAGCTTTGGTTTTTCAGATTAAAAAACAAAGTTTCTTTGGCCCTTCTCAATTCAATAGATATTTATAAGGAATTTTAGGTATTTTCGCTCTTATTCAGTTCGTAGAATTTATATTTGTTCAATAATTGGATAGCTACCTAGCTGTAAGTCTGTGACCTTGCAGTATGAATATATTCATGAGAATTGTGAATTGTGAATGTGTGATCTGATTCTGGGTTCACATATTGTTGTGTTCTCTTTCGTCCTCTTTATTGCATTTAAACATATTAAATTGTTCCTACTTCTTTCTGCCTCACTTATTTATCAGTAGAGATTTTTTTGGCAATTTTTCATTAATAGTTTCCTATATGGCATGATTTGACTTCATGGTTGAAGGGCAGTTAGCCCAAATAGTTGAACTGGTCACCGTTGACACCGGTCATTTTTCAGGTTTGCTGAATGGTCCAAATCACAAAGATTGATGTTCAATAGGATAACAAATCCTCCAAAGCCAAATGCTAAATGCTTCTACTGTTCCAATTAGTATGTGTGATTGTGTGTGTGTGTGTGTGTGAGAAAGAGAGAGAGAGAGAATTAAAAAGCTACAGGGTTCTATTTCAACATGAAGCATAAGTTTAGTCAAACACTAAAATACAACAACAGATTTTGAAGATTCATCATTTGCCAAAAAAGAAATCAAACACACCAACACATACCAGGTTATAGCTAATACAGGCACCTCATACCATAAAAAGTGCAAATCCTTAAACAGATACTTAACAATCCATAAGAGGCATGTGGAAAGGGGGATTTGTTTTGGATCATTGCAATATAGTCTCACTAAAATGATGGGCAAGGCTGAAACTAAAAGGGATAAAATAAATATAACTTACAAGAGACAATGCTGAAAATATAGTTAGAACCCAGTCTCCATTGCCGTCAGCATGAGAGAGATGACCATGGTGCAATTTAGCTACTCAAAACCCAAAAGGAGTAGACAATCACAAGAAAAAAAATTAGGTTCTGGGCACAAATCATGGAACAACACAACGATTAGTCTATAGATTAAATAATATAGGTTGCACCCTGCACCAAATGATGAAGTAAAAGTAAACCTTGTTATGCAAAGGTACAAGAAAGTTAGATTAGAGATATGAACACAGCAACTTGTTTTCTCATGGTAAATCTTCTCACTAATACTTAGAAGCCAACACAAGATAGATTCCATATGATTTTGCCTCAAAGAAAATAACTGAAGTGATAAATAAAACAGGTAGAAGGAAAGCTATCACAAACTCCCAAAAAAGAGCAAACTTTTCTTTCTTTTTCTCTGTTCAGAGAGGTTGGGGTGTTGGGTAGCTCAAATTATATGTGAAAAAGTCCCAAAGAGGGGTGAATAGGACTATGGAAATTTTATTGCAATTCCCTCTTAAGCGCAAGTCCTTTTGGTCATATTGTTTTAGACTTTTAGTAATTTCCAAAGCAGGGGTATTTTGGTTTTTCTAGACTTTCCAAATCATTAGTCTATTAATGCCTTCTCTCAAAGTGTGAAAGATATTCAAAATTACATAGGAATTGTCTGTTTAGGCTTTAGGCAGAACATACAGGTTCTGCAGGGACCAATTCTGTAGGATTTTGTCTCAGAATGTTGGCAGTCGACTGGTAGACCCAATCGATTCGACGTTGACTGGGAACGTCCTGGTCAACTACAGTACAGCCTACCGAAGCAGGCACCCCTCTTTGCTTAGGCTAATATATTCAATCCAAACTAGCACGCTAGACCTAACCATATGTCCATAAGAAATGGAGATTGAGGTCTCAGCTCAAAAGTTAGAGTAGAAAGGTTTGTTGAGTCCTACTACGTTTAAGGAAGAATTATATACATCTATAAGGCCTGCAATATTCAACGATACTGGGGGGTTAGATAGAGTTGAGAAACAACATAAAAAAAATGGGGGGTTAAGATGGATGAGTTGCAACCAAGAATAAATTAAGTGAGAATCAAATTACATTAACAATACGTGATGTAAAAAAACTAGTACCAAGAGAATAAATATGAGTGAAAAGTGTCCTAGATGGTTTGAATACATCTGGTGTAAATCAATTGATGAATTAGTGCAAAAACTGTGTCAGATGACACATGGTTGAAGCAAAGAAAGGCCCAGGGGATGGCCAAAACAACGACGGTTGAATCGTGAAAAGATAGAACTGTTTGGTCTAGGAACTTGATTGGCAATTTACTGACTTGTATTGCAGCCCAACGATAGACACATGAAGAAGAGTTGACGCAAGCCTCAAGCTTGAAGACTTCAACAAGGACTAACAAGCATCTACTTAAAGATGAATTCAAGTATAAAGGGGACCAGTCTTAGAGTCACAAGCAGTCTAGATTAAAAGCTTAGACTTACTCCCAAAAAAAGGCTAGGAAAGTTGCCCTGGCTAAATATCAACTGAATGTCTACTGGACGAAACAAAGCTAATCACCTAGCCTCCAATACTAGTCCTAGTTGACTGGCCCCTAGAGCTAGTCAATTAACCCCGTCAGATTCTAAAAGAATCCGACTGTTGGATTAGCTGTAGGTGCACCCATTATGTACACCATCTCAGATGTCAGTGGACAATCTCCTGTTGTGTGATTGTAACATCCCATACATACTTATTAGCTAGCCTCTTTGGGGAGTGATTTCGGAAAGCTTTAGCGAGACTTGACATCATTTCCTCACCACCACAAAGCTCATTAGTTTGAAGAATTTGAAGAGAAACATTGCACAGCATTAACTATTGTTTCTTGAGGTAAAAATTGCTTTCATACGTGTATTTAAACACCTTAATTCCCCCAGTCCCTGCACACTAGAGATAGGCTTAGCTCATGGTAAGCCTGAAAGTCGTCGTGAGCTTGGATTGCAATTTGCATGTAAGCTTGTCTGAACGAGAGACTATAACTAAGTGACTAAGGTAAAGTGGTGGTGTTAGGAGGCTTTGAATGAACCAAGAGAAAACCCATCGAGGTACTTCTTCTCATTAATTGCAGGTTAGCCTAGATAAATCTTCAAGAAATCCCAAATAAAGGAACATCTGGGTAAGAAAGTGGTTTACCCATTTAAAAACCACAAGGTTATTGGCTTAGCTTAAAAAACCATAAGTAGTGGATTGAGGCCCAACCGTGAAGTTTGGAAGAGTGGTGTGAGCCAAAGGGTTAGTTGAACCACTAAACAATGTGCCTTCACTTGTCATTTACTTGTTTTCATATTACTTGTTCTTCTAAATGTTTTAATGATAGAAGCTGCATAATCACACCCAACTTCAAAATTGATTTTTGATAATGCATGAATTGCAAATTTGAATAGCCATAGAAAT